CCTGGAACAACTGTTTCCCACTGCCGCCATAACCAACCTCCACTCCCAGCTCCCCTTTTCAAATAAACAAATGTTACTTTCACCAGCTGATTCCGAGTCTGATTCGGGGTCCCCTCCAGTACATGTGACACCGACAGGGACTTGTACTAGCTGCTGCAAGACTTCTGATAAAGCACGTTATCCTACTCTAAAATAATAACATTTTGGCAAGATAAAAAAATCTAACCTGCAGCTGAAAACGTTTTAAGAATAGTAGGGCATAATGTTCTAACAATGTTATCAAAAACATTTTAAAAAGGTTATCACCAAATATTTTAACAATGTTTTTAGAGACTGTTATCCAACCTTTCAGAAGAACATTCTGGGAACCAAAATAAAACGTCCAGCTGAAAACGTTTTAAGAATAGTAGGGCATAATGTTTGAACAATGTTATCAAAAACATCTTAAGAAGGTTATCAAAAACATCTTAAAGTTATCACCAAACATTTTAAGAATGTTTTTAGAGAGCGTTATCCTACCTTTCAGAAGAACATTCTGGGAACCAAGAAAAACTTCCCGCTGAAAACATTCCTAGAACAGTGAATGATAACATACTCAGAATGTTTTTAGAACCAAATATTTCTAGCTGGGATATTGTAAGCATGCATGCCAGACTTTGTTTTTACAAACATTAACCGACTCATTGTGCCTTCAAACTTTGAAATGCCTATAATTGTTTGTTTAATCAACAATTTCATTTCACCAAATTGTTCTTCTGTTTGGATTTTGCAAAGTGAAGCCATTTTGTGAAAAGACATGTGATACCTTGAGATCTGTTGAGTAAAATCAGAAAATGAATGAATGATGTTAGATGCTGGTTTACATACGGGATAATGAACTCCTGAATGTTGTTGATGAGCTGCTTTCCCACCATGATGATGAAGAGTTGCTCAGCCAGCTCAATGAGGCAGCCCCCGGGTCCACACTGCAATAGGAAATACACAGAAACAGAGTTATTGAACTTGATACTTTTACATGCTTAGATGGAAATACAATAGAGAACCGCAGTGACGAGTCCTAAAACCCGGAAGTAAGTTAGCATTTTTACCACTCCCGGTTCTTTCGACAAAAAGCAATGATGAACCGTCTCTTGAATGTGTTTCAACCACAGATCTTATTTTGAGCTATTTTCCAAAATCCTATGGAGAAATTGCATTGGTTTTTGACGAAGGAACCGGAAGGAGTTTACTTCCCGGGTTTTAGCACGCGTAACTGCGGTTCTCTAAAGCAGGGATCTAAAACACTCGCTCCTTCTGAAAATGATAAAGACTCACATCTTCATTTCTCATCCCAAACAAGGTCCCGTAGTTGGTAGGGTACCCCACAAACCTGCAAACACAGAGAAGGAGGAAAGGTTCAATTTTATTTGGCACAAAATACTCTTTACGTCTTACTTTCTTTGTGTGTTGAGACTAACTCGTGTCTCACCTTCCTTTAAAGAAAGCTACATAGAAAGGGGACGAGTAGAAGTTGACAAACTGGAAGATGAACACCTTGAAGATAAAGGCATTGTCGTACTGGGTTTGTGTTCTGTGCATCTCTGGAAAAGAGAAAGCGAGGAAACAAAGTGTTAATGTCAGTAAAATGTAATGTTATACTTGCACTTAACTATGGCATTAACTGTATGGTCATCTACATGCATTTGCTTACAAGTTTAGGAATCTTAGCAACAACTTGGTGAAGGTAATGATACAGTATATTATCTAATGGAAACAATAGAACTACTGTCGCAAATGAAGTGGTATAATAATATTTGTAGTTAATTTCATGTACCTATTTTTCTTTTAAAAGGGACCTATCATGCAAAATGCACGCTTTCATGTCTTTTATACATAAATATGTGTCCCCGGTGTGTTGGGGAACTCACAAAGTGTCAGAAAATAAAACCCTCTCTCTTTTCCTCCGTGCACAAATCTCTAAAAACGGGGCTACAACGGAGTTGATCCAGATTTGCGATCCGATATGACGTAAATTACGTCATATCGGATGGTGGACCCATGACACTATCAGAAACGTCGCTGTATCAGAAACAATTCCCGACGTGTTTTGGACGTAATAGTCTTTGTTTACATTAGCAAGCATGGCTAACACTCAGAGCTAAGCTGTAGGCTACTGGAGAGAGATGAATGTGAAGAAGCAGGATATAAAAAGGAACTCACCTTGTGGTAAACCCGCAAGATTGAAAGCCTTTGAGCTCCATACTGAGTGGCAAAGTCACGCCCATCTACTTCCGGTCCATGGGACCTTATTTCGGAAAACTAATGTATTGAAGTCAATGGAAAGAGAAAACTTATCTTTCGATCCCGTTTGAATTGTGCCATGAATTACACATAAGATGTTTGTCAATCTTACAAAATAATTTCCATGTCAAAAAAGTCAGTTTGTCGTAAAACTGTTGAAATATAAGACTATGAAAAATACGCAACTAGAAAGACTACAAATCCCAGAGTCGCGTAAGTGATGTCATAATTGTTTTCCTCCATTAAGAGATAGATTATATCTATATGGCGCTGATCTTAGCTATCTATATGGCTCTGGCTAAGATAACTTTAACAAGATGCCTGTGTGCTTAGTACCAGGTTGTTATCATACCAGCAATGGGTCTTGCTCGTTCTTTCGCTTCCCG